CGTTGCAGTTTTTACTAAATTAGGCTTCTAGCCAACGTCGGTATACAACGTCGTTTCGACCCAAAAATTATTCTCCAAACTAGTGCAGACTAGGGTTGGCACGAGGTTGTGTCTACGTTGCGCCCCGACGTTTGGTCGCGTGACACAACGTTGTCCCGACGCCCAATGTTGCTTGGGCGGTTTTCAATTTAAGATTAGGAATAATATTTGCAACAAAATTTGTAATAACATCAAAATCAGTCAAAGTCGCAGTTTTTGAGATAAAAAAAATTGAAAAAATTCCTTTACTTTGAAACTAAAAGAACTGCCTACCATTTCACATCATGGGTCGCGTATGGTCCGTCCGGATGAGCTACCTTGTTTTTTCAAGATAGCTCATCCGGACGGAGCATACGCGACCCATGTGAAATTGTTCATATAAGCTCATAGTACTTGGTCGAAGTCGCGGACGGTCCGTCGCAGACGTTCCGCTCCATCTGAAAGCGCTGTGAACTTTAGCATTTTATATATTATGTAGATAATTCCTACACAATTTGTCCCAGAAATAAGTGCAAGTATTTTAACTGGTAGTATAGTTCAACCCCAGAAACACGCCTATGAGGTTTTTTTCACGAAACATTTTTTTTGAAAATTCGAAATTTTTTGAAAAATTTTTTGAAAATGTTTTTAGTTCTTAGTTAAAAAACATAATTTCTTGATAATATGGCAACATAGGTAGTAGATTAAATTTACAAGAAAGTAAATCCAGAAAAGATCCAGTGGTTCTCAAAATTTGAGCAAAAAATCATCTTTTTTGGAAATTTTCAAAGTAAAATAGCTCCGTTATTTTGGACTTATTTGAAAAACGATAAAGAGAAAATATGTTTCTTTTATCGAGATCTACCACCCCTTAAAATACTTACACTTATTTCTGGGTCACCCTGTATATTGACAGCATTAAAATTATTTGTTTTCTACTGCACATAATTCCAAAATAACCTGCAATCTGGCAACACCGGCGATGTGCGCTTGTGTAGTATCTGGGATCAAATGCAGCAAATACGGGCTTTAAGCCCCGTTCTCAGAACTGCGTCGTGTCGACAGCGACACTAATTGACACTTCAAACGACCAATGGGAGCTGTACTAAATTTAAAATTGACAGCTGTTTGAATTTTGTACAAATCCGATTGGTTCTTTTGTCGTGTCGCTGGCGACAGTCGCAGTTCTGAGAACGGGGCTTTAAGGTCAGCCACCGGATCCTATGGATGTGCGTTTCTGTAAAAAGAATCGATTTTTTGGATCGATCTATATCGAATGATTGCGAATCGATACTAGAAAAATCGCAAGCTAAAAAATCGATCTTTAGTGAGAATCGATCTTTTTTTTAATTAAATTTTTGACTCTGATTTTCCGTTTTCGCAATAAATTAAAAATATATATTTCTATTTTTTATGACTTTTTTTTACACACAAAGACACAAAACATAAAACAAAATAAAGTAAAATAAAATTTAAAATTATTACATTGACAAACAACGATTGATTTCACAAAAAATGTCAGTCGTCGTCAAACGTCAAATATAAAAAACTGTAATTTTGTTTTTTTGGATTAGTATAGTCAGTTCGCACTGAGTATGTTTCCCTCTTTGTTCAGACACTAATTATTATTAAAGGATAGAAATATACAGCGCGCTTTTACTGGCGTAATAGAGAACATTGTTTAATAAATGCGCCCGAGCGCCATCCAACGTTCTGAAAATAAATTTAAAAAATTGTTTTCGATTGACACGAAACGACGAAACTATGGCAGATTACCCCGGTTGAGTGCAAGGATACTATATAGAGATAAGGATTGTTCGATTCCTATCCTCCTGCACTGTCAGTTTTTCTACGTCAACTAATGACCCAGTTGCATTTCGCGCCAAAAGTTTTAGACAGTGACAGTTATTTTTGCATTTGACGGACGAGCGCACAGTGCGTTGGAAGATAAATTTAGCGGGACAAAAGCGTTTGGTTAGAAATAAGCCAAAAAATGTGTACTATAAGAATAAATAGTAGACATTCCAATTGATATAAAAATGCATGAATATTCTTTGTATTTCGATACATTTTTATCAACCAAATTTGGTCGTTTTCTGCTCAGCAAGGCAGAGATCATACGAAAACAAAATATTTACAAGTGCTTATACATTTTATTCCAAAGCCAAATTATATTGAAGATTGCCAAAGGTATGTACTTTTCTACTGTACGTATATTATTTGTTAAAATCCTTTGTGCCTTTGTTCTGCAGATATCAAACTTTCATTTTTTTTTCAAATATCGATATATTGAATGATGTAGATCTTTTGAGTTACCAACACAGGTAGTCACAGTCACAGGGAGTTCAAGCTTAACAGGCGAATGCCCAAAAGTTTCATTTCAATCGGATAGTATAAAAACAAATCAACTCCATCAAAAGGCACTGAGTTTATAAAATTGTTTTAGATACTTACTATATATGAATTTACAATTACCGAGTGTTAAAATTAAAATTAAAATATCTATCTTAATTAATATTTTTAAAATAAAATATAATTTTTTAAAATAAAATATAGAGGGTATCACAAGATTACAAAGTAATTAAAAAATAACTGCTAAAGAGTTTTTTGTAAGTATTTCACCTGATTTTATTCATAATTTTATGTATTTGGCAATAGTTTACAATACGGTTTTTGTGTGTCATGTACGAATAATATCATAGTTTTATTATCTTGTATTTATTTATTAATAAATTAAGTTGTTAATAAATAAATAAATTTAACCATATAGTTGCTATATATTAGACCATTTGCTACGTTCTTAGATTTTAAGTCCCAAACATTGCTCTTGAGATTTTGTCCCGCTAGAATAACCATCCGCCGCACTATGGAGCGCTGGTCATCGCGTGACGTAGCATTCCACGACGACTACGACAGCGGCGATTTGACGCGATCGAACAGTCCTTTAGAATATATACAGTCCTTGGGTTGAGTGTAGATTAATTGGTAATGGTGTGGATCCGGTGGCTGACCTTGAAACGAGTTTTTGCTGCATATAGTCACTGACACTACGCATGCGCACATCTTCGATGTTGCCAGATTGCAAGTTATTTTGGAATTATTTTCAGTAGAAAACAAATATGTGCTTTTCAGTGTTTTTTTTTTGTCAATATATACCGTATGATCGAAAAAACGGCGTCCAGTTGGCTGGGAAATGACGATTGGGACATTTACCATATAAAATGACAGCGATCTTCATTTCATAGTCATCGCTGACGCTATTTTTTTTCAATCATAGTACGCAGTATATTATTTATATTATTATTTTAATATTTCGCACAACACGTGAACGCTTATTATGTATTTTCATAGTCAATAAAATTAAAAAGAAATAAAATTCTAGATTCCCATAATTAATCTAATTGCTCTAGATTGTTATACTATGTTTAAAAAGTGCTTTATTAAAAATTCGGGAAATTAAAAGGGATGTGTCCAAGTTTTTTCTTTTTTTTAAATTTATAATTGATGTAGCTCCATGTCATGTTCATAATAGTTTTTCTTAAACATTCCATCAAAACTACGGAGGCCTTAAATGTAGAATCAGCTTCAGCAACATTAACTGTTACCTTGTTTAATTCTGCTTATACATATATTGCATTAATTTTTCTGCTACCTTAAGATTTCTCTATTCTTACACCTAATTTATGTGATTTTCTTAGCATATATGATTTATAAACCATATTTTTCCTAATGGAAGGATGGAATAGGATATGCAAAATTAAGATATTTTAACATTTATTTCCCAGACAAAGCATAATATAGTATTAAGATTAAGACATAACAAATATTATAAGAAAGATCTTAATATAAATCACAAACTAACTAAGTCTTAATTTGGTCTTGTGTAAACATAGGTATAAAACTAATAAGATCGAAACTCAACCTTCACCATATTGTCAAGATTTGGTAATAGGAAACAAGAAATTACAGTAAATTAAGAAAAGAATATCAAAGTACACGATATTAAATACTGTAATGTATTCTACGACAGAAACCATCTCTCTTCTAATGAGAAAAAGATAAAACATAAAGCTTATTGAGCTTATTTTAGTCTTATCAACACACTCTTCGATAAAATATATGTCTAAAATTGCTATTAATCCACTAACTTGATATTTTTAAGAAATTATGATACAAATATTTTAATCAAAGTATATTTATATTTAGTAACATTATAGGTAAAATGTTACGTCTATCTCCCATTGGCGTGTATTGTTCTATAAGACTCGTCATGGTAGTACTTCAATACATCAAATACATATAATCAAAACTATTGTTACCTGTAAATAACTAGAAATTAAATAACTTGAAAGAAATAAAATAATTCTAATAAGTTAGTTTAAAACCATTAAGAAAAAATCCGTAAATGATAATTTTTAATTCTAATGTAAATATATAAATAAATGTTATCATTATTACAATTTTATTAATTCATAATACTTTCATTTCACAATCTTTATTATCCTTCTTACCTTAATTTTGGATATCAAGATAAATCTGAAATTATAAAATTAATTATAGAATTTGTATTAGGTATTAACACTGAAAAAAAATTTTTCAACTGCAAATAATTCGAAAATAAACTGCAATTTGGCAACATCGACGATGTGCGCTTGCGTAGTATCGACGATCAAATGCAGCAAATATGGGCTTCAAGGTCAGCCACCGGATCCACACCTTTACCAATTAATTTCTTTTTATTACGTAATTATTAGTAATTAATGATATTCTCTGAAATTGAGCATAAAATTTGGTGGTTGCAGGACGATTCGATCTCGGTCTAAATGAATCAATTCTATAAAAAATCGGTTTTGGATTAATCGATTCAAATAATCGGGAATCGCATGTCAAAAGATCGATTTTCTGAAGAATCGATTTAAATCGAACATCCCTAGTCGGAAGGTTAGGTCTTTTCTGTGGGTCTGTTATCTATAGTTGGCGACACTGCTTCTCTTGTTTTCTGTCTTTTTGTGTCGTTCCGATTTCCGATAATGCCTCGCTGTGATTTGTCTTTGTGATTACCCCTGTGGATGTGGATTAGGTACCCAGACCAACGCCCGAACCCTGAACACCTTACTAAATAATCCTGTAAGAAAATCTCCAACGTTGAGTGTTGTGTGCAGTAATTTTCCTCATATTTCACCACCGGTAAGTCAATTTTTTCAAGGCAGTTTATCCTGATAATATCAAAAAAAAAGGTTTTATTATTTTAATAATATTGTTAGGCTAATACGGATTTTCTGGATACATTATTTTCTAAGCTAGAGATGTAAAGTGCAAAATATCACTAAAGATACGATTTAGGTACTAAATATATTGCCTAATCTTTCAAGTTATCAATTGCTTTGATGAGCGGAGTTAGATGAATCCACCAGGATATCGGGAAATTTCCGGTAGGCTCGTACCATATAACACCGATTTACCGTTTTTTTTATGTAGAGAATCGTTGTTAATAAAACTTCTTAAATTAATGTAATTTATTTTCTGATGTAATACGTATGTAAAAAGAATAATATGTCAAGTTAGCAATATGAGAGCCTTCGAACTACGCCCAGTGCCTTCTATTAAAAGATCAGCCTACGGGCGGACTTTTGTTTGCTTCATCAGCTGTACATACTTAGATATTGGGTTAGATTCCGTTTCATATTTTGTCGGTTGATTTTTGGTTTTAACTCTTTGATTTTTGGTATTATTTATTATTGTAGTGCAAAAAACGAATTATTTTGGTGTTGAAGTGACATAAACTACTACCAGATATATGGTCACTCTCGGTTTCGCATAAAAAAATAGAAATTTTAAAAATTACATGTTGTGTAAGTGATTTAACCTAAAAGTGCCCATACATTTTTTACTTATCGTGATTTTTGTGTGTGTTTTTTAAGACTCTAACAATTCATCAATAAAGCTTAAGTGGAGTGTGTTTTTGGTGCTATGCCTCATCTTTGTTGTGTTCCTGGTGGAAAGGATAGTTACTAAGGATAGTTATTATACTAGGCAGCCTAAAGTGTCCGGAAGAGCAAGAAAAGTGGAGTACGAGTTATAAATCAAGAGAATTTTATTGAAAATATTTTTAATAAATTTAAAAATAATATTCTCCCATGATGGTATTAATGAAAACTGGACAATTATGTTTATTTTATTCATATTGTGGAATCTTCACTCCAAGTGTTGCTGGTTCAGCTTCGATAGATTCAAACACGTAAGTAGGTATTATGATCTAGGGAAAAATAAAGAATATGTGTATTAGAGATCATGAAAAAGATTATTATTTTGAGTTCAAATTTTAAAAAAGATTTTTGTAAAGACAAGACTGATACAGTTTAAAAGAAGAATGTGTTTTTGTTTGATAATATATAATGTATGTTAAGCATAACATATATTTGTTCAGTAATTTTTAATGAATAGTATTGATTATTTATAATACCAAATTAATATCAAATATTTAAGTGATGGCTGAATACAATATGAATAAAATAACAATAAAATTGGTATATTTGCATAATACATAATTAAGTTTTAAGAATAAAGGTGTTACTAAAAATACTAAGAAATTCATATTTCTTTGTTTTAATTGGTCTAATGTTATTTACATTTTACGTAAGAATTATACCGTATCATCGAAAAAAAATCGGCGTCTAGTTGGCTTGGAAATGAACATCGATGACATTCCCTAAATAACTGTACACATAAAATAATTAACTAGAATTTTACAATCTTGGAAAATTTGATATTCTTGAACCTTGATTCTAAATATTCTAAATTTTTGATTTTTTTGGAATTTAGGTTCGGGAAAAACGCTGATTGATTTTTCATTTGGTTTTTCATTATTTTTATTTGGTTTAAAAAAAAACGGTTCGGCTAACATTATAGCCTCCATCAGTGTTGTGTCATATGAACAAAATAGTGTCGAATATAATCCAAAAAATTGCATATAAAATATTCACACCACGCACATAATGTTTACTGCGTACTCCATAGTCAATGTAGATAATTTTAGTGTTAAGAATAATAATTTTAAAAAATATGTGGTCAACTTTTGATAAGTTTATATTAGTTTATTAATTGCAGTAAACATTATGAGGTGTGAATTATATTGTATATGTAATTTTTTGGATTATATTCACTATTTCTCTCATATGACACAACACTGTGAAAAACTATAGTTAGCGAAACGTTTTTTTTAAACCAAATAAAAATAATGAAAACAAATGAAAACTTAATCAGCGTTTTTCCCGAACCTAAAATCCCAAGAAAATCAAAATTTTAAAATAATTTAACATATAAAATGCCAGCGATCTTCATTTCATAGCCATCGCAGACGCCTTTTTTTAGATAATATTGTATTATTTGTAAATATAATTTTTCGAACATTGATACTTGCAAAATATACATATAAATTTTGTGAATGCAAATAATAATACATCACTATTAGTAGATATTAAATGTTTTTTGTTAAATTAGATCGATTTTCAAACCCCAAAATTTAAAATATATTTACATTTTACCCATTATCTTATGTACCTATACATTATTTGTACATTGTAAAACATTTGCTGCATTTGTATGGTTCATAGTTTATTTGCCAAAGTATTTATTACTATAAATAGGTATATATGTTGTAGTTATTAGCTGTATATTATGTATATTTCATTGAAACTATATCATTTTTAAAATACAAACCAAAAATCTGAGGAATAATTATGTTTTCCATGTATTCTACAACATATTTATTAATCCGTTATATCTAACTAGCGTGACGTCATAAATCTCGCCCGGAGGCTGATCTTTTAATAGAAGGCACTGCTACGCCCATTTTTATGATGTGGTGTCCATCTTATTCTAGGGATGTCCCAAAAATAAAATAAATCGATATTTTGAATCGATTCAAGATCGAACATAACAAGATCGATCCAGAAAAAAATCGGTAACAAAAGATCGATCTTATTAAATATCGATATTCGATTCTGAATGTATTGGTGTACTGATATAATAAAAATACGATATAATCATGAAAAAATTAGATACATAAAAATCGTAAAACCGTTTATTAACACATTTAAAATTGAAACTGAATAAGAGTCATCCCAAACTGAATCAGAAACACCCTTAAACCGAGACATACTTGTAAAAACTAAAAATACTATGACAATGTTAAAATAGAATTATTCGGCTTTTTGCATGCTTATGATGATTTTGACAGAGAATATGTACCGGTAAATTCTGTAATTTTGATATATCAGTCGGATCGAAAGAAGCTAAAATCAAAAAATATTCTGTTATCTAAAATATAAAGTATGGGAATCACCGACAAAAATCTGACATCTAATATCAAAGTGATAAACAGACATCGGTGCATGCGGTAGCGAGCACTTGCACTTAATTTTTCAATTCATTGCTAGATGGCGTTTTATTAGAGATGCACTGTAAACAAATATTCAAGCAAAACTAAAGTGTTTTTTTTTATTCTAACAAAGATTCTAACAAATAAATAAACCTGTAAAAATGTATAAATAAAATCGATCTTCGGTTTTGAAAAAAGATCGATTCTACCAAAAGATCGTTTTATTAAAATCGATCGATTTTAATCGATATTTTGGGCAAAAAGATCGATCTTCGATTAAAATCGATTGGAATTGTGCTACCCTATCTTATTCAAATCATTTTAGATCGAAATACTATAGCGTTTAAAGTTCGATGTACTTAAACAGCCATTAAACGGTAGCCTACTATGTCGGCGGAAAGTAAAGCCCCGTTCTCAGAACTGCGTCGTGTCGACAGCGACACTGATTGACACTTCAAACGACCAATGGGAGCTGTACTAAATTTAAAATTGACAGCTGTTTGAATTTTGTACAAATCTGATTGGTTCTTTTGTCGAGTCGCTGGCGACAGTCGCAGTTCTGAGAACGGGGCTTAATGCCTAGCCATAAGCATTTTGCAAGAGCGCCGCCTGCGCCTGTGGCGCCGTGGCTGAGGCTATCGCTTCGTGAGCGAATGGTCCAGGGGTTCAAATCTCACGCCGACCAAGACTTTTTTATATTTTTTTTTTGCTTATAGCGTGATCTTATTGCATCGGTTTCACTCTTTTTGGTTGGATTGGTTTAGTTATTTGGCGGGTTGGTTAGCGTGGTTATTTGGAGGGTGTTAATTCATTGGTTAGTTGGTTATTTGGTGGGGTTGGTTGGTTTTTACTAATTTATATTTGTTTTTTTAATTTTTTTTATCAGTGTCTAGGTTAGTTGCGTTGCTTAAGTTGGTTATTTGGTGGGGTGAATAGCGTTGGTTAGTCCTTATAAAATTCCTACATTTCATAAAGCCGTCAAGTGCGTCACATCAACGACGTCATACCTATTAACGGCATTTTAGTAAGCTACCGCTATTTCGCGGAATGAGATAAGTGATTTTCCCACAAAATGTCCGGAGCAGTGCTGTGATGGGCGCTGGGTAGGAATGTACGATTCGACCTTTTTTAATTTTTAACTCTATGATTCGAATCAATTTTAATTGAAGATCGATCTTTTTACCCAAAATATCGATTAAAATCGATCGATTTTTATCAAACGATCTTTTTGTATAATCCAGTACTAGCAGCTAGGGAGCCGCACTCCACTTTTGCTCCTGTGCTTCCGCGCATGCGCATGAGTTCTACAAAGTCGATCGGGTATTTCGCGTGCAATCTATAAATAAAAAAACTCATACCAAAGTCTAACCATCGAAATCGTGCCGCGGCACTGTTTGGTGACATCGTAACAATTTGCTCTCGGGTGTTATTTGTCTTATAATCGATCTTTTTTTTTTCAAATTGAAGGTCAATTTTATTTATACAGTTTTACAGGTTTTGTACAATTTATATATTTGTAAGAATAAGAGGAAACACTTTAGTTTTGCTTGAATATTTGTTTACAGTGGCAGCAATGAATTGAAAAATTAAGTGTAAGTGCTCGCTACTATGACTCGTTACCTACGCATGCGCCGATGTCTGTTTATCACTTTGATATTAGATGTCAGATTTTTGTCGGTGATTCCCATATTTTTATATTTTAGGTAACATAGAATATTCTTTGATTTTAGTTTCTTTCCAACCAACTGATATATCATAGTCACATAATTTACCAGTACATATTCTCATGGGCGGCGGACAGGGGGGG